TCAGGTGGTGCAATACCGGCTAAACAGTGTAATTTCTCCAGTGGTGTAGGGCGCAGACAGCCCGTGATAATGTAACATGTCTCATTAAGAGCTACATCTATTGTTTGAGTGTGGTGAGATGTGTTCCACACTGGGCATGCATACTCAGCAGCAGAGTAGCAGAGCGCAAGGGCAGATGTCTTCACTGTGTCTGGTTGTGATCCCCAACTTTAGATAGTTGGTTAAGTCATTAGCAGAGTCCCGGTGGCACATTGGGTTAAAGCGCTGAGCTGCTGAGCTTGTTGACCGAAAGGTCACAGGTTCAATTCCGGGGATCGGCGTGAGCTTCCGCTGTCAGCTCTAGCTTCTGCCAACCTAGCAGTTCGAAAACATGCAAATGTGAGTAGATCAATAGGTACCGCTCCAGCAGGAAGGTAATGGCACTCCATGTAGTCATGCCGGCCACATGACCTTGGAGGTGACTATGGACAATGCTGGCTCTTCGGTTTAGAAATGGAGATGAGCACCACACCCCAGAGTCAGACATGACTGGACTTAATGTCAAGGGACAACCTTTACCATTTTAAGTCATTAGTAAGCAAGGAAGGCGTTCTTATTTATTTTGCATTTAATTCAATTCTCCCAGGTTGCAGTTCAAAAGAACCAGTCCTGGTTGCCAGTTCTCCAAGAAGGGCCACCAACGTTTCTGTCTCGAGGTGAGCTTCAGAGTCTTTTTCACCAGGCAGGCCATCTTTTGAGAGAATTTGAATTGGGTCTCCCCATATGGCAGAGTGGGGCTGGGCTAGATGGCCTTTGGGGACCCTTCCTCATTCTTGCATTCTCCCATTTGCAGCATTCCCAGGAGGAAGGAAAAAGAGAAGGGAGGGAGGAAGAGAAGGATGAAAAGAAGGAAGGGCGGAAGGGAATGGAGGGAGGGAGGGAGGGAGGGATGAAAGCCAAAAGGGAAGGAAGGAAGGGTGGAAGAAGAAAGAGGGAGGTAAGGAAGGGAAGGAGGAGGGATGAAAGACAAAAGGGAAGGAAGGAAAGGAGGAAGGAAAGGATGGTGAGAGAGAGAAGGGCCTGCAGAAAGAACCCCAGGGGTCACATCCAGGCTCCCGGGACTGGGTTTGCCCATACCTGGTCTCTAGTAGGAAGGCTTGTCTTTTGTTGCAGCTATTTACAATATTCACAGCTCTCTCCAGAATCCTCCAATTCACCCTACCATCACCCAACATATTCTGTTGGTGTTCTCATATACACTTGCCTGGTGCAATGTTCCACTCATGCTTCCACTATCTTATACACCTGATGCAAAGCTAACTTCGGGGTCCCATTGTCTTCCTGCTGAACCACTGTAACTGTGACCCAGCATTTTATCTTCAGAATAGGTTAATATATTTTAAAACTCCAAAAAAAGGGTTGGTTTCACCTCTGGTGTGCTAATAAAGCTGAATTAAGGTGTCACGAAACGGTATAGGTCTTAGAACTGTGTCCCCAACATGAGAGCTGCCGAGAGCTGTTCAGCAGTGGAACTCTCTGCCCTGGAGTGTGGTGGAGGTTCCTTCTTTGGAGGCTTTTAAACAGAGGCTGGATGGCCACTGTCAGGGGTGCTTTGAATGCAATTTTCCTGCTTCTTGGCAGAATGGGGTTTGTTCTGGTACGGCTGTACTAGGAGCTCCAACTTCTTTTTCTTTCTTTGAGTGTTTGCATGTATTCCAAGGTTCCATGCATTTTGCAATAAGGTGGCTTCCCTCGGTTTGCAATTATAGGGCCAATGACCCATCAATTATTTTATTTTTAGTTCCGCCCCTTTCCCCAGAGTTCAGGAAGGAAAGGGAACCATCTTAGCTCTGTCTTATAGTTGAAAGCTTAGCTACAGGAAGTGAATCAGCTCCACCTGTAGAGAAGCTTCGTTTCTTATGAAATTCCGGGGGAAAACAGTTCCAAAGGACTCCAGCTGGAGAATCTACAAAGCCTTGACTGGTAGGTCTACTCGGGACCCAAGAAGCAGTTTGGAGCCGGGAGTAGAGCCCACACCAGCAAAGTTTAGAAAGTAGGTTGCCCAAGGAGGGGTTAAAAAGGGTTTTCCTCTTAAAGGAAATAAACAGTTCACGAAGCCAGTTGCCTGTCCCTTGTGGACAAGATTAAGAAAGCTACCAGTTGATTCAAAGCCTTGAAGTATTTGTTTGACCTGTTGAAGTTCTGAGTAGTATTCGATTGTTTTGTTGAAGATCTAAGCAATAATAAAGGACTTTGTTAAACTTTTCAAGCTTCTAAAGACTCTATAGGAAAATCCTTAGGGCCTCTCACTCGAGGCACCCCCCTGGGCACAAAGAGCACGTCCTGTTCAAAAGCCAATTGCTATAGGCCCAGCGTGTGACAGCACAGGGTTGGACTAGAAGAGACCCACAAGGTCTCTTCCAACTCTAGGATTCTATGATCAGTGGAACCATCAAATGAAGGACCTCAAATATATTCCCATCCCATGCATGGACCCCAAGAGAAAGCAGGCTGAGACACATTAAGTCAGTGTTTCTCAACATGGGAGTTGGGACCACTGGGGGGGGGGGTGCGAGGGGGTGTCAGATGGGTCACCAAAGACCATCAGAAAACACAGTATTTTCTGTTGGTCATCTGGGTTCTGTGTGGGGAGTTAGGTCCAATTCTATCATTGGTGGGGTTCAGAATGTTCAGCAGTGTAACTCTCTGCCCTGGAATGTGGTGGAGACTCCTTCTTTGGAGGCTTTTAAACAGAGGCTGGATGGCCATCTGTTGGGGGTTCTTTGAATGTAATTTTCCTGCTTCTTGGCAGAATGGGGTTGGACTGGATGGGCCACCAGGTCTCTTCCAACTCTAAGATTCTAGGTTTCTATGAAACGTTGGGAAAACCCCATTACAACTGGATGCAGACAACGTAAACACCTAGAAATATCTCTCTGCTTTGGCTTCCTGGGGCCCCTTCCCAGCATTTTATCGCGTTTCCATCTGCTTCTATGGGAAGTCAGGCCCACCCTGGGCCTCAATCCTGACACACTCTGATGTCCAACTCTGCTTCCCTTTTGCAGGATGTTTGCCATCTGGACTGGGCTCCTGGGGCTGGCTCTGCTGGCTGGATGTGGAGAGGGACAGAGCTGTGGGGTGAATGGATATGGTAAGAACTGGAGGTAGTCAGGGAAACGAGGGAGGGCAGAGGCATTTCCATGAGCTTGTCCATCCTTAAAACCATCTTCCACCCAACTAAGTTATTCTTATTCCTCTGTCCATCCCGATTTCCAAATATTCCTGAGAAATGAATATGTCCTCTACTCATAGCTTGAGAAACATTACTGTTTCTGGACGGCTATTACAAGAATCCCCCAGCCAGTGTGTCCACTAAGCACAGTTTATTCTCGGTTAACGCCAACCGGTTATGGACCCTGCTGGTAGTCCAGGAAACAGAGTACTGAACAAAAGAATTGCCTTGGTTTATATACCCTTTAAAATAATATGCATGCATCATACAAGCATCACAATGTGCATCACAAAATTCCAATTTGATAGTGACTCCAATAGCGTATTTTAACTTCAACACCTTCAATCTTCCATTAAGCACCTTTATCTAAAGAGCTGCTCATTAAGAGGACCATCCTATACCCCATAGCGCCAGAATGTCTACCAGGCTACTGATAGCAAGAGCTTCCATCCATCTTGAGATAGTCCTGAAGAAGCCTCTTGATAGCCAGGCTCATTAATCTTACGATAAACTCTGCTTGGTACCAGTCATGACATTTGCCAGATGCCTGAGACATTCCTTTCCATAGACCTCTTTCTGGCCTCTCTCTAGCCTCTTTGTGGCAACTTAATTTGCAACTTTTAAGAAGCCAAGTGAAGTGAAGTCCATGCATACATACATCCTATATATTTTATAATTCCTATTTCTAATATGATTGCATCCAATATATATTTTTCCAATATGTGTATCATGTATTTTCATCATGTCTTCATCAAGGTGTTTATAGGATTTTGAAAGTTTTACTGGTGTTAGATGCCATTGATAAGACATCTTATACCAATTATCCTGAATATCATACAAACATGTAAATTTTATTTTTCTGGCCCACATTGTTTCCCAATCCTCTAATCTAACAGTGTGGCCTATATTTGCTGACCATTTTCCATACAATCTTTCACAATTTCTTTTTCTGTTTCCAATTCTAATTATTTATTATATATTCTTGTAATACATTTATTTTATAATTGCAAAGATTTATCCCAAGAGGAATCTTTTCGCATAAAGCCTAACTCTTTGTCTTTCCTAAATTGTTCCCTTATTTGTAAATATTGGTACCATGAGATATTCTTGTTTATTTGATGTAATTCTTCTTGTGTTTTCATTATAATAATTCAATTTTTTTGTCAACATTTCTTTATAGGTGGGCCACTTCTCTCCTCCCAGTTCTCTTATTTGTCAGGCCCCCATAGGAGAGATCCAGGCAGGAACTGAACTCCTGTGGACCCTCCAAATGCCCTTTGCCTAGGGCATATATTCACTGATCCAGAGATACCACAGGATCAGCAACTCCACAACTAGTGGTCTCCCCTCCCCTTCATGGAAGATAATTGAGTGTTCTTCCTCTGGCCCACCGTCTTGCTGTGCGTCTCCTCATTTTGTCTTTTCATCCTTATGTCTCTCCAGGTCCTAACCTGGCCAGAGGTCGCCCGACATACCAGTCCTCTATATACCTAGTACACGGGCCAGACCTCCTGTCAGGGAAAGCTGTGGATGGGATCTGCCAAGGGGACCTGAACGCCCACCGCTCCTGCACCCACACAAACGAGGATTTGGAGCCCTGGTGGTATGTGGACCTGGGAAGGCAGTTCCCCATCGATGTGGTGATCGTGAAAAACCGTGGGGACTGCTGTGACGCGAGGCTGCGGGGAGCTGAGATCCACGTGGGAGACTCCTTGGTTGGACACGGCAAATTCAACCCCCTGTGAGTCCCAGTTTTTCCACCTCACCTTACCCTCTGAAACATAGGTGTCATAGGCTGTGCTTGTTCCCCTTTGGAAGAGATTTTACATTATCTTCTGCTTCCTTCAGCAGTTCAGCAGTGGAACTCTCTGCCCTGGAGTGTGGTGGAGGCTCCTTCTTTGGAAGCTTTTAAACAGAGGCTGGATGGCCATCTGTCAGGGGTGATTTGAATGCAGTATTCCTGCTTCTTGGCAGAATGGGGTTGGACTGGATGGCCCAGGAGGTCTCTTCCAACTCTTTGATTCTAGGATTCTATGATTCCTCTGAAATATAGCCTTCAGCACCTGGGATTCCTTGGTAGTCTTTCTGGGTCTTGGAGAGGTTCTTCTCTTTTGACTGCCACTCTCAGTATAGCTGTCCAATAGGCTTGGGTAACAACGGAAAAAATTGGTTCTAAACTCGTTTCGTTTGTAGGGGGTGATGGTGTTTGGGTTTTGTTTTTTTTTTGGACTTCCGAAATTGTCCTTTTCAAAATTTTGAAATTTACAAAATTTCGTAAATTTCGAATTGATTCGTTAATGGCGGACGCGATTGCGCAATATGCTAAAAAACCTCCAAATGGGACAGGGGGAACTTCTGAAGCTTCCCTCTCCCTCTGTTGTTGACTGTTGGTGTGATAAAACAAACAACAACTATATTATATTATTATAATATTATTATATTATATTGTTGTATATTATATTATAATTATTATTATATTATTGTATATTATATTATTATATATTATATTATATTATAATAATATTATTATATTATATATTATTATATTATATTATTATAATATTATTATATTATATTATTGTATATTATATTATTATAATATATTGTATTATATATTATATATTATTATATTATATTACGAAAATAATTACGAAATAATTACGAAAATTGGAAAAATTGTTTCGATTCTTAATTACTCCTCACACTATTCCTGCATGGCTCAATATTGGATCGTAAGCTAATTTAAATACGAATTAATAACGAATTACGAAATTAATGAACGAAACCGCCCAAGCCTACTGTCCAATGCCTTTTTGAACTGTAACTCCCAGAATCTCGCAATCCAAGAAACACAGTCCAAAAAAAGGAATTCCATCCCCAAGCTCAGAAGGATTTCTAAACAAACCCAGGGGATGTAGACACTTTTTCAGAGGAAGAAATATCAATAACCACTTCTGAGGATTCCTGGCCTAAGTGTTATGAATAACTTTCCCACATTGGAAAAGAATATCCCACTTCTGACACCAATTATGTCATGAATGACTCTTCAATAACTTTGAAGCATAGGTTCTTTTTATTGCAATTTCCAGTGTGAGAAGATATCAGATTACAGAAAAACATTTAGACAAAGAATGACATTGGACATACAGACATACAGATTCTATGCAACTACATTGGATTTACAATTACATTGGTTAACAAACAAAGAAAGGGGAATTACATTTTCACTCAACATTCACACACATGTACACGCATTCATCCACAGGCATCCAAATATTACCATATCCTTTTCTCCCTCTTTGGAGAAGCACCTCTTAGGCCAGACCCTGCTTTCCTGCAGCCCTTCCAACACATAGTTCCATAACGCCAAAACTTCAAAATGCCAAAATGCCAAAACTTCTTTCCCTAAGCACAATGCCAAGGACCAGGTCTCTGTTTCCCATACAGCAGAACCTGACTCCCTGCACAAAATCCAAGACTCCAAAGGCGCACTTCTTCCTCTTCCCTTGAGAAAGAAGCCCCAAAGTGACCAGACTGCTTCCGTGCAGATCTGCCACTATCCGAATACACCATCTCTCTCCTTCCATGGAGCAGAACATGGCGGGTGAACCAGACTCCTCAGGTCTGCCACACATTTGAGCATTATTAGACTGAGTCTTTTATAGGAATATTCTGTTGATGTAGTCCCAAAGTTATAAATGAATGATAGACGTCTTCCATCCTGGCTCCATCTCACTTTCCTGGCCAGATCATAGAATCATAGAGTTGGAAGAGACCTCCTGGGCCATCCAGTCCAACCTGATTCTGCCAAGAAGCAGGAGTATTGCATTCAAATCACCCCTGACAGATGGCCATCCAGTCTCTGTTTAAAAGCTTCCAAAGAAGGAGCCTCCACCACACTCCTGGGCAGAGAGTTCCACTGCTGAACGGCTCTCACAGTCAGGAAGTTCTTCCTCATGTTCAGATGGAATCTCCTTTCTTGTAGTTTGAAGCCATTGTTCTCGTCCTAGTCTCCAAGGAAGCAGAAAACAAGCTTGCTCCCTCCTCCCTTGGCTTCCTCTCACATATTTATACATGGCTATCATATCTCCTCTCAGCCTTCTCTTCTTCAGGCTAAACATGCCCAGCTCCTTAAGCCGCTCCTCATAGGGCTTGTTCTCCAGACCCTTGATCATTTGAGTTGCCCTCCTCTGGACACTTTCCAGTTTGTCAATATCTCTCTTCAATTGCTCCGCTGTGTCCTATTTGCCTTCTTTCCTCTCTCCGCAGCTGTGAGACCATCCAAGAAACCAGTCTCGGGGCCATCAGCACCATCCGTTGCCAGGGGCTCCCAGGGCGCTATGTCAGCATCCATATCCCCGTTCGGCGTGAATACCTGACGCTGTGCGAAGTGGAAGTCTATGCGATGAAACCAGAGTGCCTCTGACCACCACCTTCACACGTGGGGGGCTGGGACAGGGGGGTGTCTGATTCCCTCTTTGGATGGACAGCCTGAGAGTGTGTCGGGCAGGTTATTCATCCAAACACCTCTCATCTGCAAGCCTTATCTCCCTTTCAGCAAACGGCGAGAGGAGACCCCACATCCAAAATCAAATCATGCCTTCTTGCAACTTCTCTCCCCCCCCCCCACTTTGTATGCCAACTCCTTCCAGAATGTAATAGATCTTTTCTTGCCTCTTTTTCCTAAGTACTGTGTCGAAGAAAACTGCCTCTCATAAAGTCTCGCAAAGCGCCTGCAAAGCGCTTTTAGCTTACTGCAGCTGCTGTGTGTAACTCCTCCCAAGCTGTGCATTGCTTATCTTTGACCATTCCTCCCTCACACACACACACACACACACACACACACACACACACACACACTTTTATGCTTATTTTCTGAATTGTGCAATTGTGAGAATTCAGAATCTTGCAAGGCTTAGATTCGTCTCTATGGGTTGAGTTTGCAGTTCCAAAGTTAATGCTTCCACATTTTCACAATATACACAAGCACTTAAAATATTAATACAAAAATTAAATACATTTTTGCAATGAGAAGCCTTTTCCTGTTATGTGTACTTTAACGTGCAAGGGTGTGTGTGTGTGTGTTTTTGATTGTGTGTTTTCCTTATTAAACAATGGGCTGTAGGTTTTTTGGGCTATATGGCCATGCTCTAGAAGCATTCTCTCCTGATGTTGGCAAGCTTGCCATAGACGTCAGGAGAGAATGCTTCTAGTACATGGCCATATAGCCCGAAAAACCTACAACAACCCAGCCATGGAAGACTTTAACAATACTTATTAAACAATGTTGTGCCTTATCTTTTTCCCTGTGGAAATTCATTTTGTCAGGTTTTTTTTTTCTGGAAGAAATTCACTGCACAACTCTTAGCATCACAATCTCCCAAAACTGGAGTTTAACAGCCAATTACTTACACATAGTGTAAGACTGTAGGATCTATATAGCAATATTAAATGACCACTCACAAGCCGGTTTTGCTTTGAAATGGATATATTGCTTGTATCTCCGTAGCAAAGAAAGACACTACTGACTTTTTCCCACCACCACTTCCTTTTATACACCTTTCCTGCCCACCTCCCCCCTCTTCTCAGTCTCCTTATTAGAACTGGTTGCTTCACAAGTTCCCATACACGATTTCCAGCACCCTCTGCTGACTTCAAAATGTCACAGAGAGAGAATTGATTCAGCCAGGAGGATTTAGTCAGGATGTCACAGAGGGAATTTGTGATGTCTTCATGCCGTCAGAAATTGACTCCTGCCACATAGTTCATAATAAGCACTGTCCCTACAAATGTTAATTAAGAAATAAAGATGAATATTGGAATTACAAGCCCTTTCCTCTTGTGTTTATTATGCACGGGATGTGTGTACGTTTGAATAGCAAACCTTGCTTAGGGCTGCAAGGTGATGAAAGGTATGGAACTTTAGCAGAAAGGGCTAAACAGAATGAAAACTATTAATCAGGATGGGAAATCTCTGTCAGTGTCTGGTATTACCTGCAAAACTGTGTAGGTGTGTGATTTTTTAAAAAGCAAACAAACAGGGCAAAATGGAAAGTTTTGCTCTACAAAAGTAGAATTGTAAGTAGTTTGGGAATGTGGAAGTCCCCAAATGTCCTCATCCTGAACTTGCTGCAGCAGCATTTGACACTTACTGCAACACTTCAGCACACTTAGACACACTCAGGAAGTGCTTCCTGCTGCCTAAAAATGGGAGTCTCACATTTATTGAAAAGCACTTGTCCTTGTTAATGACTAGTGAGTTAAGGGAACTTTAATTAGATTCTGTAAGAGCCGTCTCAGACCCACCTGCGAGTGAGTGATCAGCACCATATCATCAGCATAGAGAAGGACATTAAGATTTGCTTTTGCTTATCTTGGGCAAATGGGCCATTGGTGAGGAGAGGAAACCTTGGGATGTTATTAACGTACAAATTGAATAAAGTGGGAGCCAAGACACACCCCTGCCTCACTCCTTAAACCACATTGATTTTCTTAGACAGAGCACCATTGGCTCCAATGTGCACTTTAAGGCAGGTATCCATATGGAGTACCTTGAGCAGATAAAAGAGTCTTGGTTCCATGTTCAATTCCACCAGTTTTCTCCAGAGGGTATCTCTGTTGATTGTATCAAATACTGCTCTAAGGTTGGGCCTGGTTCTGTTCTTCATCAGTGACTTAGATGAAGGTAAGAAGGCAGGATTATCAAGTTTGCAGATGGGACCAAATTGAGAGAGAGAGCCAAGACTCCAGAAGACGCAATATTCCAGGTGTGGTCTAACCAAGGCGGAATAGAGCATGGGGAGCATGACTTCCCTGGATCTAGACACTAGGCTCCTATTGATGCAGGCCAAAATCCCATTGGCTTTTTTTGCCGTCATGCCACATTGTTGTCTTATGTTTAACTTGTCATCCATGAGGATTCCAAGATTTTTTTCACACATCCCCCATTCTGTATCTTTGCATTTCCTTTTTTCTGCTTAAGTGGAGTCTCTTGCCTTTGTCCCTGTTGAACTTCATTTTGTTAGTTTTGGCCCATCATCTCTCTAATCTGTCAAGATTGTTTTTGAATCCTGCTCCTGTCCTCTGGGGTATTGGCTCTCCCTCCCAATTTGGTGTCGTCTGCAAACTTGATGATCATGCCTTCTCACCCTTCATCTAAGTCATGAATCAAGATCCTGAGCAGGACCAGGTCCAGGATGGAACCCTGCTGATGGCACTCCACTCATCGCTTCTTTCCAGGATGAAGAGGAAACCTTGGGGAGAATCACCCTCTGGATTCGTCCGCTCAACAAATTACAGATCCACCTCACCATAGTGTTGCCTAGTCCACATTATACTTCCAGTAGGAATCCTGTGTCAGATAGATAATGCATTGCTAGACTGGAATACATTGGCTGTATTCCTATTGAGGAACACTGGTGGAAAATACAGTTCTAATGGACATGTGGTCACACACACCTACTGAATGATTAAGTGGGTGGTGAGTCATGACCAATTAACAGTCATGATGAGGGTGGCATCATTCACTTTTGTCCCTGGCTGAGTTATTTTATTTATCGTGTCAGGAGCAAACCAAACAGTTGTATTGCATTTTTAACAAACAAACAAACAAACAAAACACAAAGTTTGTAAGCTGGCCACTTGGGAGTGCCTCTGGTGTTGCTGCAAGAAGGTCTTCCATTGTGCATGTAGCAGGGCTCAGGTTGCATTGCAGCAGATGGTCTGTAGTTTGCTCTTCTCCACACTCGCATGTCGTGGATTCCACTTTGTAGCCCCATTTCTTAAGGTTGGTTCTTAAGGGGGACATGAGAGAAGCCTCCTCGCAGGATTGCAAAATATCTGGGCATCCCCTGGGCAACGTCTTCGTAGACTGCTGATTCTCTCACTCCAGAAGCAACCCTGGCTGATGACGAGCAAGCAGTGGGTATAAAAAGAGGGCAGGAACTGTGTGCCCTTTCTCTTACTGAACTCTCTTCCTGAATGTTTTCCTTCCATATTGTTGCTGCTATCTGTTTACCAACACCAGTGAGTATATTGTTGTATGTGCCATTGTTTGATAGGAGATAAGGGGATCCTGATCTCTGTGTATATTTAGTACATAGAGCATCAAATCAAGATTAAAAGTCTCCTGTGGGTTTGGATGAAAGTTGACTCAGAGTTTTCCTAAACTGTGAGCAAGGTCAGACGGTGCAGTTATACTCGCTGACCTTGCTCACAACTGCACAAAATCCAAGACTCCAAAAGTGCACTTCTTCCTCTTCCCTTGAGAAAGAAGCCCCAAAGTGACCAGACTGCTCCCGTGCAGATCTGCCACTATCCATAGATACACTATCTCTCTCCTTCCCATGGAGCAGAGCATAGTGGGTGAACCAGACTCCTCAGGTCTGCCACACTTTGAGCATTATTAGACTGAGTCTTTTATAGGAATATTCTGTTGATGTCATCCTAACAGAATGGGTTGTCATTCTGTGTTGATGTCACACAGCTGACAACTGATAAGCACTCTGCTGTGTTTGGGTTCATTTTTGCAGCTTGCCTTTGAGACATTCAGTTCATTGCGCAGCAGTCCAGAGAGGACATGTTTGGAAAACTGTAAATCATGATCTATCCCACCTCAACATGCTATTCCCTCTGAAATCACTTCTCCCAGTTATTTTAATACCCTTGGATGTCTCACACTCGGCCCTGAGGACTTGAATTCATTTAGATTAGCCAGATATCCCTTCCTTGCCCCTTAACCTACGTTGTGCTGCATTTCCCCTACTGTATTCTCTGCTCTGTACTTCCCAAATTGAGCACAGCTGACTTTTTTAGAGAAGACAGAGGCAATGAAGGTGTTGAGTAGTTCTGTCTTGTTGTCATGTATCATGTTCTGCAGTTGATGGTGGTTGGTGGTGGTAGGCCTAGCAGTTAGTGACGGAAGGGTTAATGTAAGTCTTAGTTCTAAAGGGTTGAATAATCTGTAAGTAAAAGCAATTAAGGGTGGAGGCATGCAAGAGATGGGTTGCAGCTGGGTGTTTCTGGATATAAGGAGCTAGCCTCGGGGGCTGATCTTCGGGAGAAAAGTATTTGTCTTATTTTGGTGGTAGATGCTGCTGGTTTTCCCCCAGGTTTGTGGATTTTCGGTATCCTGACCTGTCTCCTGAACCTTTGGAATGATGGAACCTTGCATCTTTGGACTGGCTCTTGACTACGGTATAGACTCTTGATCCCTGGACTTTGATCATTGAACTCTCGGCGTTTGACCACAGGACTTGACCTCTTGACTATGGTGTTATCTTGAACCTGCAACAGCGTTTGCTGACAGTTTTGTTTTATATTGTGTGGATGAATGCTATCTTTATGTTTTATGTTTTGGACTTTTAAAACAGCCAGAAAGTAAGTGCTGTTTTAATTAAATTTGTTTGGTTCACCTC